CTGCACCACCAACCAGACTTTTAACGGCCCGATCAGTGGTGCTGACTGGAGCCACCAGGGTCCCTTTTCGACCAGGCATTCTGGTCGAAAACCAGATGCCTGGCAACCCGTGTCACAGGCTTACAGCAGTGTTGCAAAATATACAACATTGGCCAGCTAAGCAAGACTCTTATTAGACAGAAGGCAAAAGGAGAGAGATAGGAAAGAGAAGAAAGTGGGAAAGAAAAAAGATTCTTTGGCAGGTGGGAGATGGGGTTTGACACAGTCTCACATCCCGGATGGGGCTGGGATTTAGCCGGAGCCAGTGTAGGTGGAGGTAGTGATATCATCTAGGTTCCTCTCTCTCTGGCTGCTGTGGTCAGGACATTTCTCAGGATCAGAATAATGACGGCCTAACTCTGTTACAGTAGATCCCAGGGTCCCAGGAGATGGTGAAGGTGGTAGCCATGATGGTAAAGCTTGTTGGAGCAGTTGTTGGCAAAGAGCAGTTGCTTCTTCTTGATTTTCCCTCCAATGTCTTTTCTTTTAAGACCCCAAAAGAGAGTGATGGATGAAATAGCCCATCCCCTCATTATTTTATCAGTTAGGTCTAATTTTCAACACACCAGTTTGGGTTCATTGATTTCCAAGATCACACTTCTCTTGCTTATGAGGCAAGATCTTAGCACAGTCTTTGAGTTACATCAGTTGGCCTTTTGGGGGGACTAATTCAATCTTTGTCTCCCTTTTGCACTTTTCCCCTCAACATTTGTTGTAAGTTATTGTAACATTTTATGAACTTTCACTCACTTTTTACAGTTGCGCTCACAGTTAGAGTAAATGTATAGGGCCAGTTATTACAACAGTAGCTAATCTTTGATTCTCTTCAATTTGTCGTAGTAATATGTCAGTAAATTTGATTTAAAACTGAATAAGAGGCTGCAAATGTTCAAAAATATGTCTCTCCTTCCCTTACATATTTTGCATGATATTCAAAGATAAACAAATGATTATAGTAAACCCCAGGTAATATATTTCACAGTCTTCCTGGAGAAAGATCAAAGAGGCTTAATTCAACATACAGTGTGGGAGTTTACTATCAAAATGCTTCAATATATTCAGTTTTCCAATTCAAATGGAGAAAAACATCATTTGGACTTAAATATTTTGAGATAGAAAAGAATAAATAATCCCTATTAGATATAGCTACAAAAATAAGTTAATTGTTTAAAATAATATTAGTGATATAAATAGGGTTATACTTTCCATTATAGGTGTCTAAATTGCATGCATAAAACATGTATTTGTGCACAAATCAGACAACTGCACATGGAATTAGCATTTTACCCGGTACAACATACAAATACGATTTCACATTTGTATGTGCTTTTGCAGGGATTGTACAATCATTAAAGCTTTGACCTAGAAAGGTATCATTATTAGAAAAGCCACATTCCCTGCTAAGGAAGGACTGAATCTGTTTTTTTCTATCCACAGGTAGGTAGGTAATCTGCCTAATTAATTGCAGGTTTGCTGTTTAGTAACCAAAGAAGTTATGTAGAAAAGGCTGCCTGAGGTAGAACTAAGTGCTGTCTCATTAGCATTCAGCACAGCTGCTAGCTCATGAACAAAAGAGAAAAGACAGGACATAAGATGGGAAAAGTACAGTGAAACGAAAAACATATTATTTATAATTGTGCCTTGATGAAGGATAGTGACAAAGAAAGGGACTGCATCTATTCATGACACACTCAGCCAGTGTAGTATGGCTGCATTAGGTGGAGGTATTGTGCTCTTAATGCATATCCCAATTAATATTTTTAAAAGCCTACTCAGAGCACACGTAAACACCATTTGTAGCATGCTCTGTATACACAGTCAGTACTGCCATCCTTTACATATTACATTGACATTACTGATAAAATGTTTCCTTATCATCCCATGGACTTTTTCTTGCTAATGAATTCATCATCCATTTTACGATGTACAGTGGATACGTCAAGTCACACACAAACATTTCAACTTATATTTCCTAGCTGTTCAACAGCCAAAAATATTACACACTAGTATTAATAACCCTTGGGGCAAGCTACTTTCTTATGTTCCATATAACCATAAGTAACTATTGTTACTTCTCATTTCTTGACAAATGAATAGCAGGATGGGTTGAAATTAGTTGAACATAAGTGGTTTTGTGTTTGTTAGCTTTTTTGCATAAATAATTATTTTAGTAGCACCCACATTTTGCTAGACACTGTCCATATACACACAGTCTGTCCTGAAGCTCACACTCGTGGTCTGGTTTTCTAACAGTTTGCTCAGTGGAGAATGGGACACTGGGACAGTCTTGTTGGATCATAAATTAGCTCAAATAGCCCCTATGGTTTGTTTGCATCAATATACTGCATTGTTTTAATTATTTTTATGTAGTCCTTTTCAATAAGAACATGAAAAAAAGGGAATTACACTGAGGAATATAAAAACACAGCTAAAGTGTGTGTGAATGCAGCAAACAGAAGGGAAGGTGGAAGAATGCAAACACATCTGATTTTGGATAGCTTCTGCATGGGTGTGGAAGGCAGAAGTAGCTTCCTCCGATGTAAGGTTGGCCAGAATTATAGTGAATGTTCTCCCATAAATCCAAGGACTCCTAATAGTCCAAGTATGGAAAATATGCGGCCATGATCCTGTTCCTCTTTCTATTCAACCAACCATGAAGAGATGTGTACACTGCATCCCTTTAAGGAAGACCACAATGGACAATTTTGGGTGTAGGATTAGACTATCCCTGATTTCTTCTGTATTGTAACTAGTGCCGCAAGCGTTTTAGCTCTCTACAAGATGTGATTTGTTCAATAAACTGTTATTATTGGCCATTAATTGTATAATTTCTTTTTCACGTCGGCAGCCAGCAGTTACACTGCACAGTTCTTCAGGGATTGTTCCTATGATAAATAATGCCTCAGTACCTCAGAGCAGCAGCAGCAAAATTGATAACATGTTCCTTTAACTCATGCTTGGTTGATGAACTAGAAGAACTTTCAACTCCTATAAGAATGGAATTTAGAGTAGTCACTGTGAACTTTTCTGGGTATTCTAATATGAAACTTTCTAATGTATTTCATGTCACACATACAGTATTGATTCATTTTGACAGCACTAATATCCCCCATCATTTTCTTTCATTGTTCATAATAAAGATGGGGATTTGATGCTCCCAAAGTGAATCAATAGGATACTGTATGTGGATCATATAACACATTACAAACTTGCATTCATCATGAAATATGACCATCAATCCATATTACAATATTAATATAAGGAATTTTGAATCAATTACCTCCATTAAACCTGTATAAATCTTCATTTTGAGTGTACATTGCCTGAAACAATTGAATAAGGCAAATTTTGTGATATTCATGACTCTGGAATCAGTAAAGCTCAGAATACTAGAGAGAAATGAAATGTGTACCCATTAAACATGATTTATATCCTATGTACCTACTGTATATGTCTCAGTTCCCAAGCAGCCTCTAATAATATCAGAGTTCAATTCACTGTGGTTCTACTGTGTATATATGAGATAATTAAAGAAATTGTTTACTACTTCTTTTAACCACAAATGGTTTTACTTGATTTGAATAACACCCTGACTTGTATAGTAGAAATACCTATGTTTATATGAATAATATTTAGATGTAGAAACTGTCAGAGGACAAACTGTGTATACACAGAGTTGTTGTAGCCATGTTAGTGCCAGGATATTAGAAAGACAAAGTAGGTGACGTAATATCTTGTATTGGACCAATTTCTGTTGGTGAGACAGAGACGTTTTCAAACTTACACAGAGTTCTTCTTCAGGTCTGGGAAACCTACTCAGAGTGTCAGCTACATACAAGGTGTGCACACACATATACACAAAGAGAAAGACATTTCTTGTTTAAAAATCTATTTTTGAGTGCTGACTCAACAGTACAACCTGGTATTTAGGCATTTTATTTTTTTTAAAGTACTTATAAATCTCAATTTTGTAAGTTTATTTGCTTGCCCTTCCCCTCCCCTTATTTCCTCATTGCTTGGCATTTCTTCTTCTGCCTTTCCAAGACAGGGCTTGTTTGAACAGGGAAATTGACCAGCAGAGCTATAGGGACACAAGCTATACTGAAGCAAGTCACTTTCCCATACCCAAAGAAGAGTTCTGTGTAGGTTCAAAAGCTTGCCTCTCTCACCAACAGAAGTTGGTCCAATAAATGATAATACTTCACCCACTTTGTCTCTCTAATATCCTGGGACCAAAAGGGCCACAGCACCAATGCATACTTTTATTCCAGATACAAGGGGCAGTTCTGCTGGTCAATTTCTAAATGCAAACACACAGCCCAGTCTCTCATCACCATGCTCTGAAGGGAGAGTACTCTTCGACTGAACCCAGACTGCTGCTCTCTCCGCTCAAGCCGAACAAGGGAGCAAATCCCAATCACTCAACCTGAGCCAAGGCTTTTTCTAGACTGGGGGAAAAGTGGTTTGTTTAAATAGGCTAGGTAAAGTTTGTCTACACTTGAAAGGTAATTCGGATTAAGGTGGGGGTGTGAATTTAGCTATTCCTGGATGACTCCAGTTTATTCCATCCTGCACCTGAGAAACCTTCCCCCCAAGCGGCGTTTCCTTGCCACTGTCACGTTCCTGTGACAAGTGTCACCCGTGCCGGATGGGCGCCAGCCTGCAGGTACCGACGTCCGTGGCAGGTCTGCAGCTGGCAGCCGGGCGGAGGCTCCCACCTGGTGCCATGACTTGCCCCAGGCAGGCTGGAAAGGAGCCGGCCCGGGGCTGAGGGCTGGAGGGTTTCGTGGGGGCAGATCTTTAACAAGGCTCCTGCCCCGTTTCAGCTCCACGCGGGATCGAAGCCCCGCAAGCCCAGGGCTGGGCGGGCGCAGGGGAGCCCGCCTCCCACTCGGGGCGGGGAGCGGAGCCGCTTTCCCTGCGCTACTGCTTCCCCCCTCTAGGGGGCGCTGTGGGGTGGCGAACGCGCCGCAGCGGTATGTCCCTGCGCGCGGTCCGTAGCCTGGCGGCTAGGCTGACGTGTGGCTGCGGAGGGGGCAGCGATGGCGGCCGCCTGGGAGGAGATCCGCAGACTGGCTGCCGACTTCCAGCGGGCGCAGTTCGCCGAGGCGGCGCAGAGGTGAAGGGACTGGGGTACCCCCCCCCCGCCGAGTCCTGGCGACCGAGAGGAGGAGCCCAGCTACGCGCGCGTCCCCCCCCCCGGACTCGGCCCGCGGAACTCCCGAGCCCAAGCGCTGGGGGGGGGATGGACAGCGCCGGGCACTGCGTGTTTGACGGTTGTGGGGAGGTCCGGTGCCCAGGACTCAGGGGTGGCGGGGGGGAGGAGAAGCACTCCGCCCAGTGGGGTGTGGGGCGGGCAGTATGCAGCGCCCTGCACTGGGGGCGGTGAAGTGTCGAGCACACCGCAGCCCGGATCATAACAAAGTTACTGTGGCTGAAATTGGAGTAGAAAATACTTTCCTTGCTCCGTGCCCAGTGCGTCCTGCGCCGTCACTGCAGAGTCAGCCAGTGTTTGTTTGGGTCTGGCACCTCACGGGAGAAAACCCATTTTTGAAATAGGAAAGCGGTTATGCCCTACAGAAATGGGCAAGTGAAACTAACAACTCACATTTTAAAGTTGATGGGATTTCAAACTGATAGCGCCCTTCTCAGTTCCAGCCTCCTATTTTTCCACATCAGCAGATCAGCTAAATATTTAATCTTTTGGTAGTGCTTTGTCTTTATCTGTCTTGACAAACAATTGTAATTTGTATAAGTGGGGGCAGTCATTTGCTTAATTGTTTTAACTAATTTCAAAATCAAACTCCAAAGTAACAAATTACAATCATAGGGCCTCATCCTGCAAAGTTGACAAAGAGCTTAACTTTGCTGATGTGAGCGGTCTCACTGAAACATTGACTATCCATGAGAGCAAGGAAACTGACTTCATTGATACTACTCACATGAATAAAGTTAATCATTTCTAGGAGCATTTGCAGGTACTAAGACCATGTTTTTAAAATGACAAGAGAATTAGGATTTTGTATGAAATTGACATACTGAAAGTTGTGTGCAGAGAATAGCAAAATAATCGTTCAGTTTTAAAATTTGAAAAGCTTCAGTTATTTATCCCAAAAGTAGAAGTTCTCATTTAAAATGACTTGGTTACTCTTTATAACGTCCACAGGCTGTCTGAACGTAACTGCATAGAGATTGTTGCTAAGCTGATTGCTGAAAAGCAGCTGGATGTAGTGCACACGCTTGATGGAAAGGAGTATATCACTCCAGCACAGATTAGCCGAGAAATACAGGATGAGCTTCATGTTTGTGGTGGTAAGAGTTACATTTGTTTTTCTTCACTTCAGTTAAATTAATAGCAAGATCATAGAAAATAATTCGGGGATTCAAAGATTGCCTTTGTCCTTCAATAAACTTAATATTACTTAAATTTGCATTTCCCTGTTGCTTCATTGAGGATTGTCTCCCTTCCAAACTCCGGCCACTGGCTGGTTGTGAACCGGAATTGTCAATGTTACCTTATTTTGTAGTATCAAGAATATAGGACAGGGATGTTACAACGCACAAAAAGAAATCTTTTAGCGCCCTTAATATATTGCTAATATTATTATTTTTATATATATATATATATATCACACACACATACACGCTGTAAGCCAAAATATGTGCTTTGATATCTTATGGGCATTAATATTATTCATATCTTGTATGTATAGTAAATTAAAATAGATTTTTATAAATTCAGTAAATGTAGTGCTGTGTTTAATGATTGTTAATGACTCCATCACTATCATATTAAAAGTGTGAGTAAGACTGAAAAAATTCATTGTACTTTTGTGGGCACTTAAGGCCTGATCTTGTAGTACAAAATAAGCATTTGCATGTGTATATGAGTGGTTTTGTTTTGTACTGAACATTGTTATTTGATGGTCAGAAATTATCTAAACATGATTGGTATATTTAGACAGTTTTCAAAGACAAGTTAAAGAAGGTTGTTGAATCAAGCAAATCACTCAACTAACCAATCATTTTCCTCTGTGGAGGAATAAATGTATGTGCAGTTATAATCAGAAAAGTGGATCTAAAACGTTCCATGATGAGGTTTGATTTCTCAAATACTCACTTCACAAGTAGATTATTTTTGAAAGGTGTGTGTATCTGTTAGAAAACTTACAATAATATAACTATCAATTTAAAACCAATATAATTACGCCAGTGAAAACCTCTAATATAGATGCATTACAGCCATAGGAATTGTAATTTAAACCAATTTAAGAACATCTCTATTGGACTGGTGTAACTAGATTTGATGTTAAATTGACTTAGTTTCATCAGTGCAAATTTTCTAAATTTTCTAAATTTTCTAAAATAGATGAGGTCTGAGAACAGGGCCTGCAACCTTGACTCAGAATCTGAAAATCATATTTGTTTCTGCCTCTTACATCATCACTAGCAATAAAAATGTCTCAATCAGAATTTAGAATCAATTTTGTTGATGTAGAAATATAGAATAAGATCCAGCCCATTCTTCCATGTCTATATGATATCACAGAATGAACAGTAGTAAAAGCTTTGCTGTATTAGGTGTGGTTTAGATGCACAGGGAGCATATATGGCTTAAACTACCCATTTGTCTATAGCAAATGGGTAGTTTAGCCTACAGATTTCTACAAGCATAACTCTATCAGTCAGAGGTGTGAAGAGGTATGATCCCTGCCCAACAGCTGTGTCAACATAAGCCCCTAATGCAGACACAGTTATACCAGTAAAACTACACTTTTAAACAATATAGCTTGTTTTACCTGTGTAGAGTCATTTTACTATTCTAATACGAAGCTCTCTTTTCCCAGTATAGCTGCGTCCACCCTAGGTGCTGATACAGTATACTGTATTGCAGGGATCGGCAACCTTTGGCACGCGGCCTGCCAGGGTAAGTACCCTGGCGGACTGGGCTGGTTTGTTTACCTGCCGCGTCTGCAGGTTCGGCTGATTGCAGCGCCGACTAGCGCGGGCCGAGGGATGTGCTGTCCGCCACTTCCCACAGCCCACATTGGCCTGGAGCGGGAACCACGGCCAGTGGGAGCTGTGATCGGCCGAAC